AGGAACGTTAGGAACGCCACTGCTAGGAACGTTAGGAACGCCACCATTAGGAACGCCACCGTTAGGAACGTTAGAAACGCCACCATTAGGAACGCCACCGTTAGTTACGTTAGAAAGGCCACCGTTAGGAACGTTAGAAAGGCCACCGTTAGGAACGCCACCGTTAGGAACGTTAGGAACGCCACCGTTAGGAACGCCACCGTTAGGAATGCCACCATTAGGAACATCACCGTTAGGAACATCACCGTTAGGAACATCACCATTAGGAACGCCAACGTTAGGAACTTAAGTTTTCCATCAATCGTTTGCTTTAGACTAGTGTTTGTAATACAAATGTTAGTAATGTTTTAAAGAACGCTTATCCCCACCATTCCTAACGTAAAACACAAATGTTAGTAACATCTTTACAAATGTTTACCCCAAAGTTCCTAATATAAATCACACCACTTGAGAGCTTCCCTAATAAATATTTATGACTGTCATTGTGGTAATACACAGGCCTTTATTGTTAAATTACTTAGCTATGTTCTGCTATTCCCATAGTACACTCAAAATGCCAGTAAAAGTAGTAGTAGTAATTCTTCCCAGAGACTCACTTTGATGTCAATAAGTGTTTGAAATGAGTACTTTGATGTAAAAGCTATCTATGTTTTTKTCTCTTGTTATTCATATGTGCAGGACTGTATTATTTTGATGAAGTTAAGTACAACAATCTCTGGAGACATAGAACCAGCAGTGTCTTWTACATCTGGAGAGTTAGTAGAATCTGCAGTATCCTCAAATAAGTAGTAATTCTGCCCATAGAATCACATCAGTCTGTGAAATGAGTACTTTGACATAATAGCTATCTATATTCTTGTCTCTTATCATTAAAGTATAGGAATACATTATTTTATGAATTTTACTGTTGACATTCCTGGAATGATAGTATCAGTAGAAGGAAACTCAAAATACCAGAATTAGTGGTAATTCAGCCCACACAGCACTCAGTTTGGCATCAATAAGTCTGTGCAATGAGTACTTTGCATGACATGACAGCTATCTATATACTTTTCTTTTATCATCAAAATATAGAAATGTATTATTTTATGAAGTTTACTGTTGATATTCCTACTAGAATGATAGTATCAGTAGTAGGACACTCAGAATACCAGTGTTAGTAGTAGTAATTCTGCCCACAAAGCACTCACTTTGGCATCAATAAGTCTGTGAAATGAGTACTTTG